AGATGTCGACTTCTGGGTTACTCAGCTCGTGAGGTACCTTCCATGCAGTGCCTTCGCTTTCCATAAGGTTATCTTCTCTTCCGTTTGATGTTGAAAGGGCGGATCAAAGCTTTTCAAGTTCAGAGACTATAGTTATTATCAACTGCGCTTACTGCTTGCTGAACTCTCCCACAATTCAAGAAGTATCTTCTGAGTGAAGCAATTTGAGAGCTGTGTAGATTTATGAGATCTACAATACTCGCCTTCCTTGCGACCTTGGAAGGGAAAAACGCTCAGTACTTGAATGTGGATGATGTTCGGTTGTGAGTCATAGCGGTTCGAATTGTTCTCTAGATTGCTGAGGTCGGTATGCTCCATTAATAACCCAAAGAGTATGTCAGCACTGGAATAACAAATGAATTGATGGCCTGCACAAGGTTTCTAGCAGAGAGTTGAGTTTTTAAGAGTCCATGCATTCTTACAACACCTCAGTGTTAGTATGTCTTAGTAACAGATGTTGTGTTGATCGGCAGTGATGCTGGAAAACACAAGTATTTGTAAGTTTCATGGGTTCCAGAAGTAATCTTGCGTTCATTACAGTTCCAAATTTATAACTTGCATATGACCCGAATGATATTCATCTCCTGCACTTATCCAAACGAATTTCATCTTATTCGTCAGTGACTTCTCCGTCACCGTTTTATTACCCGCATAACTCTCAGTTGATAGAGCTTCAGCTCATCCATGTAAAGAAGATGTTGAGACACGAAGAAGAGTTGAGTTCCCCTTTTTAAGAGCATTCCATAATTAGGATGAATTAAGACAGGGATTCAAGGCTAAGCAGAACAATAAAGGCTGAAGAGCACCTGAGAAATCCCTCGGCGGATGTGTATAGTATCTGCGTGGACGGATTGTTTTCCATTAGAGAGATACAGTTTTGTGTTCCATCCACTCATCGCGGTTTTCAGGAAGTTTTGGATAAACGGGTGGACCTTGTATACATCCAAACATAGAAGGAGCCAAGAATAGGGCACGGTGTCGAATGCTTTTGCGCAATCTATAATATTATTATAATTATAATTATTATTATTATTATTATTATTATTATTATTATTATTATTACTATTATTATTATTATTATTATTATTATTATACCATATTTAAATTTAAAACATTAGACTCAATTATTACAAGAAGAATTTTCAGAAATAGCTCAAAATGGGGTTTATTTGTAAATTTTCAGAATTATATGATATGTTAAATTGGTAAAATTTGTCCGATTTCAACAAAACCAACTGGATTTTGGTGAAAAAACTGTAGAGCAGATTTTTTCATTTAACTTTCTGGGCTCCCAAATATACCGCGAAGAACTCGATATTGATAGAACAATAGAAGGATTCAAGCTAATATGTGGAACTATAAAAGGAGTTTAAGAAACAAAACCAGAAAAACAGGGCAAATTTCATAAAACTGTGGCAGTATCAGCAGGGTTGTAAGGAAGTGAAAAATGGACTATGACTGCAAAAGACAGAGATAGTATGCAGGTTCGCCGTGGTATTCAAAATACGGTTGGTTCCAGAAATAAATGCCTAAGCCACGTACTGTGAATGGATCACGGCAGAAAGCTAAAAATCATAATTGACTTGAGACCTCAAGGGAGACGTACAGGGTGACCAGTCAAAAGATGGTGTCAGCATTAGGAGCCGCAACAGGACTCTGGGCCTATAGCTTGAAGAAGAAGAAGAAGAAGACGAAGAAGAAGACCAACTAGTTAGGAGAGCTAGCTAAAATATTCCTTTCTAGGAAAAACCGTTTTAATTTGGTTGCAAAAAACACTACAAAATATTTTAGAAAACTACCCTTCTGTACAGGCAAAAAACCTAATTCAGAAGTCTCATGCCGTGTCTTGGAATAAGACCGGACGTGTACGACTAGGTCACAAAAAGGATACGACTAAAAGCTAAACGGATGTGCTAAATGTGGCTACTTGGAATGTGGAAAGATTAGGATTAAATGAGAACGAACTAAAATTAATCTTCAAAGAATATAAAATCAATGTAGCTGTGATCATTGAAGCTAAAAAAGCTCATTGGTGTGGCACAAATAAAAAGAGGATGTTACGTAGAAGCTACATTGACAGACAGAAAATGAAGCAGTGGAACAATAGGTTAATTAATACCAAATAATCGAAAAGATACCATAAAGCAAAATGGGAAAAATCTTAGAGAAATCATAGCTTTTAATTAATAGACAGTAACTCTTACATTAAAAACAAAAATATACAATAATTCACTTAATTTGAACTAGGTTCATAGATTTATTACATATATTTCAAGAAATGCTACACAGAACAAAGTTTATTTGAAAATATTTGGAACCATTAAAAAAGTGTTAAATTTTCATGTTAAGTACCTCTATAAATCAAAAGGTCCATTTTTAACTCCTAGCGCCGTGAGTTTGTTTAGATCGATAAAAAATGTAATTTTTCGAGAAAATCGTCTGAACCGATAAGGCACTAGCGTTGACCACAGATGTCCTGACGGACGGACTGACTAATTTGATTTTTATGTATTTTTTTGTCGAAGAACACTAAAAACATGTGACGTGTGACGTAAAAAGTACACTATGTGCGTGTTTTGAGATCCAGAATCTCTTTGGGGTATCAACAGCATTTCCTTTTTCGGAACTAATCACGATTTCCTCAGCTTCGAGCTTCTTCTGCTTCGAGTTCTGCTTTATACGGGGATGAAGTTAAGATGGCAGTTTTCCCCCTCCTTTTGTAATTTTAGCTTTTTCTTATACATTCCGTTTCTTTAGGAAGAGGCACTCTTATTTTTGGTGAAACCTTAAATGTCTGGGTTTCTGTAGATGTCGGCCTACTAGGTATTGCTCCTCCTGACAACATCATAGAAGCTGTGCACCCAATGTCGCAATACAAGTCGATGTCTAGGGTTGATCAACAAGAAATGAAAGGTGCAAGAGGCGTCACCGTTGGCACTGAAAAGATGGTTTGCTGAGGCTCTGCCGATTGATCGTAGTCTGCTTCTACCATTTTCTGCTGCTGTGAATCTTTACCAAGTGGTTTTTCAATAGATTCTGAAGGCGCAAATATTTTATCAGAGAATTCATGAGCGTTAAAGGGATGGATTTCTTTTATTTTCAAACCCCTTCAATACGAGTTGAACAGCAGATGCTCTTGAAAATGCGCCTCTGAATAATTTTGCAACTTGAAAATTGTAACACAGCGTCCTGGGTGGATGATCAACCATTTTATGACCTCCTGTTCATAAAAATGGTTTAGTGGTGCTATGAAAGACACATTACCACGTATTGTATTACTCCAGCCATGCTTGCAGATCGATCAGTCTTCGTTTTACAGAGCCCCATAGTAAAATTGATAATAAAAATACCTTTGTTTCATAAGTAACTCGATTTGACTCCATGTTTACAGGTGTCAAGTATTTTATATTTATGTTTTAGACTACTAATTGTTTTATGTTTTGTTTTAATAACATGAACAGTACCGATATTCACATACAAACTTTTCAAACAATTTAAAAGATGTGTCAGGAAAATAGTGTTTTATATTTGTTAAATACTTAAAGTATTATAAAAGAATTTTAAATGTGGTCGGTAACGTTCAAAATGGGGATGTCCCACATTGAAACTTCCAACCAATATTGGAACTTTCATAAAACAAACAGTTACATGCACACGCATCCACAACTTCTCGCAAAGTGTTTGACAGCCCTTCTAGTGTAGTAGTACAAAGTTTGGCCACCCTAAGCATCCCCTATCAGTAAGAAACTGAATGTCCCCATTTGACCTGCCGTCGCCATTTTGAACAACGTTCCCCTACATAATACGTTCGAAGCACAAATTATTTAGCTATCCAGATATTTATCTTAATCAGTTATCTCCATTTTATTTGCATACTGATGTTTCTCAGGGCTCTAATTTGGGACCACTTTTATGTGTTACTGTAATCAGTTATTTTGATCATGATGTATTGTTTTTTTTCTCGTACGCTGACAATGCGAAATTATTTCTGCCAATAAAATCTGTGACTGTATGACTGATTCCATACCACAATCTGAAATTATTCCACGAACGCTATGAACTGCATAAGCTTACTTTAAATCGCATAAAATATAAAGTTATGTCATTCTACTGAGGTAAAATAATTTCATATAATAATATTATCTGTGAATCTGGGCCTAGAATGAAGAATATTAGTGTAATTTTCGACCACCAAGTATCTTTTCAATACCACATTGTGGAGTTAATTATTACTGTCAATAAATCTATTGGTTTTTTTTTTGTGAAACTAAGCAGGAGGATTTATTGCGAATCTATGAGTTATTTTCTTTTTTTTGTTAGATCTAAATTAGAACACGCTACTGTAATCTGATTCTCTGAGAGCAATGGTATGCATATGACGTGTCAACAAAGATTCTCGAAATATCTAGAATTCAAAGAATCCGGGATGTATCCACCGAGAGGCATTAACAGCGGATTCATTGCCACGAAGTTTAATCTGTTGGTCTTCTAGCAAAATACTCACTCACGCGCTTCTTTTGCCAAAAAGTGTTTCACGAGATGGCTGTTTATCTACTTATTTATAATATAAAATAATAAAAAATGCCTGTGACGTATGAGATGTATAATAAACGCATCCCGCCTTTTTGCCACACCCAGCTGAATGATGAATACAAGTATCAACAAGTATCAACATTTAAAAACTATACATGTTCTTTCCTTTAAGAATTACAATGATACAGTTTACAATATTATGATATTACGGATTTGATACAAATAATTCGTGCAGTTTAGCATCTCTAGTTTACTTGACATTTCATTGTAATGGGAGATGTACGGCAAATAATTTAAACGCTTATTTAATGTTTGAAGATTTGATACGTAGTTCTAATGACATGAAGGCAATAAATCATAAATTTTGCCATAAAAATGTTTTGTAACCATACTTTGTGATTGTACAATAAAGTGGTTTTCTGTGACAGGTGTTTCGACGATTGCTGCTGCTGTGACGTGTGTGTACGTCCCTACCGAACGGTGTGGCAGGACCTGAGACCCGCTTTGGTTGCTCAGTGCCAGTGGGCTCCAGCCTTCAGTGATTTGTGTGTACCGATTCAAAATACACATTTTCTCATCTCTCTGCGGCAATGTTACAACCTAGACCTACTGTTCAACACCTGTTGCTCAAGACAGTGTTTCTATTAACATATTCTCTCATGTTCGGTGTGAATCGTGTTTGCGCACAGTATAAAGTAACTCAATACCAATAAATCATTGAACATTAGAACTAATTAAGAAGTATGGTGGGTTCTTTATTGTCAGTTCGGTGATAAATCTTTTCACATTGTAAGGACATATACCCGTAAACAGAAAATCCTTCAAGATGTTGCCAACCAACGTAATGTCCTTCATGAAGAAGGTAAGCAAAAAATAATCCTCGTACCTACACTTATTAATAGTTTTGATCAAGAGCATGCCATAGGAATATTGGTTTTCAAACATATTTTTTTAATGCCACAGAATTTAAAAAAATATTTATTTGCATGTACTTACCTTTGCTTACAGATACTGCTCTCCCAATGTAACAAGTTAACTGTTTTGTAACCTACTTTAAAGATTTATTTTTTTATCTTATTTTCTTAAATATGTTACTCTAATTAGGAAAATAAGATGATCAAAAAATTACCTTGTTGAAATAACTAAGCCTCATACTGCGTTTATTCATTATGAATTGCGCGTCCTCCTGCCAGTTAAGAACACAATGAGTCATGTTTCCTCTCGTTTTAATTGGTTTGGTTGCAATGCTCTTCCTCTTAGGAAGGAACGGATACAGAATGCATCAAAGTCTAATAACATCAGTTTGTATCCGGTGTGATACTTTTAACTGTCTTGCTTAATACACACGTACGTAATAGAGGGAAAGTATTTGTAACGCTCCAGCAGAAAGTGTCGATTTTGCGACAAAACTCGTATTGTTGGTCCTTAATATCGAACTAGTAGTGTAAAAAAACACATATCTTCACACATATGTATTAGTTGTAACGGTTACACTGCACAAGTGTTACCCACTTGCAAAATTTTCTTGCCACGTTGAGATTCGCTCTTGGCTTTTTTACATCTCATTAAACAAGTCAAAACATTTTTAGATCAAATGGAAGGGGGTCATGGTTTTCCCCCGATTTTCCTTCATACTTTCCTCCCATTAGTTCTGAGTGTTCCGTTATAATATACTACTACATAAACGTGCAAAAATGTTCTGGACCAGCAAAAATGATGTTCCGTGCCGAGACTCGAAGTCAGGTTCTTCGAGTTTAGGTTCTCGACGTCACCCATACGACTACGCTTCAGGAGCGAACTAGGCCCAACGCTTTAAAACTGTCTCAAACCCAACATTTTCATCATGTAAGTTTTTGTAATTTTCTAAAATACTACGAGTTTGACGAAAATGGGTATAGCACTAATTTTTACATAGCACCGGATTTTTCCGTGCATTGGATTAGCACCAAATTTTTACATCATATTCTTTACATCATATTGTTTGTTATATACTAACGAAGATACAAATTAGGTCCTTTTTTATAAAAATATTTTTATCTAAAAATTGCAAAGGATACCCAAGAATACGATGGAGAAAAGTGTCCATAAACCAAATGGCAAATTAATACCTACGCTTAAACTCTAACTTAAAGTAAAATTTTTGAAAGATTTCTAAGCCCCGTCCCACCCCTACACAACCCAAAACGTGGTTTTTATTTTAATTTTTTTCACAGGCTTAGGTCAAGAAAGGCATAGGACGAATCGCTTCCAAATTATTCACGATTATAAGGTGGGATTCAATAACCTATTTTTGCCTGCCATAATATGCAAACTTCTAAGTTTTCTTCTGAAATCTATTCCATGTAGGAATGGGGTATAAATATATATATATATATATATATATATATATATATATATATATATATATATATATATATATGTTTCGTTTGGTGATATATATTTTACTGGGGGTGGAAATGTTGTTATTTCACAGTTATTGATTGGGTTTGTATTGTTATTGTTTGAAGGTGTATTTAGAGCAAATATTTCTTGGAAATGTTCAGCCCAGCCAGTATTTCACATTTTTCTTTTGTTGTTGAGCTGTTTTATCTAATTTATTTAAGTCTGTTTTAGTTGTTGGTTCTTTCAATATTTTTTTGCAACATGCCATAAATTGATGTCTTTAGGTAGCATCGTAGGATTTCACGGCGGGAGTCAATAGAACATAAATTTTCCGGGCTGTAGGCCGTGGTCCAGTTGGCATTGAACGACTGTCTTTAGAATTTATTTTTTATATTGTTGGATTCTGTGTTTGTCTAATGCTGTTTTTATTCGGTGTATTAGTTTATTTAGCATTTTCTTTAAGTCTGGGCTTCTTTATTGTTGCCATTGCCGACGTATTTTGTGTTTCATTTGAATTAATTTTGAATGCTAATAGGTATGGTTTTGCGGTGTGGATTTTGATTTATGATTATGTTTAGCATTTTTTCTTTTGATATTTTTTGTATAATTTTAGTGAAAGTATCTTTGGCAAAATCAACCTCTTGAATTGCTCTGTGGGAAGAGCATTGTTGACATTTGTTTGGAATTTTATCCAATCTATGTTTTTTGTGTCTATACCAAAGAAAAATTCTGTTTTAATATAGTTCATATCTGAAGTGAGTATTACAGGACAGTGGACAGAGTCTAATTCAGGTAAAGAATGAGCATAGAGGGTATGTGGTAAATATTTAATTATGGTAATGTCAAGGATATCTGGTTGAGCTTTACGGTTTTTGGGGAAGTGAGTAGGAATTGTTGGTGCTATGATTTTGAAGTATAAAGTTGTTGACGCTTTTAATAACTTTCTCCCGTTTAGGATATTCACTTTGCAGCCCCAATTGATATGTTTGCTGTTTAGATCTCCCATTAAAATGGTCGATTCTGTAATAGACAATATTAGATTTAATTCCTTTATATTGGTTCGTTTTTAGGGGCTTTATATGCTGTTATGATTTTTAAGTACCCATTTTAAAAGTTATTTTCACTGCAAGTTCAAGATCGATTTTGGAATAGAAATTAATGAGTGGTGCAGAGTCTTTTTGATTAGTATAGCTACCCCCTGATGCATGTTGACATATTCTGTCTTCCCTATAACAGTCATATCCAGGAATTTTAAAATTTTGTTCTGGAGCACAGTGAGTTTCTGTTAAGCGTGAAAATGTTGAGTCATTTTTCAGGAATTAAATAAGTGTCCTTTTTTATTTTGTAAGCCATTGGCATTCCAGTTAAGGAGTGTAATTGATTTTAAGTCGGGCTGCTTATCCATTTCTTATTATATTTGATTTGCTACAATGTTTTGAATTTGTGGATTTTTTTTGCTGTTACGTAGTTAATTATTGTTGGTTACATCTCTATTAGAATTTTTGTTATGTTTGACTGGATGGTTTTTTGTGTACCTATTTGTACATATGTGTGTGTGTGAGTTTTGATTGTTGTTAAATGACACTTGAGAAAGTAATGGATTTTGATTTATGTTTTTTTGTTGTGAGAATGTTTGAGAGTGAGTTTCATTTTCATATATGTTATGTGATTGTAGGGTTTGGAATTGGGCATTGAATTGGTTTGATTGTTGAATTCTCTTTTTTTCTGGAAAATACTTACATTGGTTAGAAGTAGCTATATGATTTTCTTTACATAGAAAACAAATTGGGGGTGGGTGGTTTGTAGATTGCAATAATTCACAGTCTTTTGTCCAATGATGTTCTGCACAGTAGTTACATTTTGGAGCCATTGTGCTATAATTTTTTGTGTGTCCATAAATAAAGCATTTTTTACATTGGGGTTGGCCTTGTAGTTTCCTTCTTATTTCTACTTTAACTATGCAAGGAAGTAATTTGTCTAGTTTAAATATTTCTTTTCCTTCAATTGACTTTGTTAATTCTAATGCAACTACTTTAAAGGGTAATCGCTCGCTGTTAGTCTAGTTAATGTTTTATTGGATAATGTACACTTTCTAATTCATAATAAATCTCTCCTCAGTGAATATTAAGAGTATATTTTTATTACAACTGATAGTTTTCTTTCTGATTGTACACAGTATGTATAGCAAGGGACATTTTCTCTTCACAATATTTTCTGATTTTTCGCTAGTAACGTTTTTCAGTAATATTTTTACCGAATCCCCTGTGATTTTAAGGGTAAACCGATTTCCTATTAATTTTGTTAGATCTTTCGTTAGAAGTGTCATGTTTCCTGCGTTTCTAATGCATATTGGACGTATTTTTATATTTTCTGGTTGTTGTTCTTTGTTATGTACATTTTCATCTGATTCTTCTACTGTTTCTGAAATTGAATACCTATTTATGGAAGTAGAGCCTTTAATTATACAATTGTTTAGCATTTTGCGCTTTGCGATACTATAATCACTTACTTTTGTGGGTCCGCTTTTTTTGGTAAGATGATGCTGTGCAATTGTTGATTGATTAAGTTCACTGATGTTTTCTGGTGATCTATCTTCTGCAGATTGCAGGTTTCCGACTGACTGTTCCACGTGTATTTGGGGAACATGAGCTGCTTTCTCCGTGCTGTTTGTTGGGTCGGTCCGTAAATGATGAAGCTGTTGTTGTAGTATTTGGTTTTGTTAAAATTTGTTAAGATGTTTTTGAACCATATGATTTTGATGTAGGAGATGTTGGTATTGTTGCTGTAGATCTTTCGTGTGTTAATTGCGAGTTAACTTGGGTCGGGCATAAGTCAACATTTCTTTCATTATTCAGAAGTTCAATGGATCTGCTGATGTCCCCTTACGAGGACATCGTCTGATAACATTTTGAACACTTAATCGTATTATTTGATTGAGTTATTCACTCTAGTACTTACTGTTTTTATCTGTTGCGATCTCACTATCGGTTCCGCAATACGCGCATCGTTCTGTGAGACCGTTTTATAATATTGTCTCAAATGATAGGTATTCAAGCAATAGCATTTTTTATAAAATGGTCTCAAATGTCAACAAAACTATAATCAGTGATGAATGTCATATTGATATCTTTGCTGACTCCATAGTGACATTGTGCAATGCAACAGTGAACTTCACGTACAACAATTTTTTCCATTTATTATAACCTGTCGCAATTAGTTTTAATTTTAATTGAGTTTATTTCATTTTTTCTTGCGTTTGTTGTAACTACTTTGTATTACTTTGTTAAATGTAAGCCTCCTATCATTGGGTGTATTCTTCTGTCTTTGTAGAATATAAATAATATATATAGATATCTTCTTCTTTGGTCCTATCTTCCATATACGGAAGTTAGGTGACCCATAACGGGTTTTCTTGGGATAATTTATTCAGGGTTGTTTCCCGTTACCTTCCCTGATATGATGATAGCGGGTGAAAGGACA